TTTTATAACTATACTCTAATACTTTTCATTGAGATGGTAACCATACAAAGAAAATAAAGTAGGTATTTTAAGCAAAGTATGAATGAAGATGAGTGTAGGATAAGTGTAATTTTGCCTTGGTATTAATGAATAATTGGTCTAATATTGCAGATAGTTGTAGTAGGTATACTCATTGGTGTGGATCCACACCAGGGAGCATTGTATCCACAGTGTATGCCTATAAATTCCCACAATTTGTGACCTCCTGATAGCTTGATTATAGGACAATTAGGTTGTGTATAGGTTAATAATATGTTGTGTATGCTGTTAATAGATTGTGTAACTTATAGACTGTATAAAATGGTTGAAATTTTAGCTCTATTTTCATGTCTAAAGATACTTATTTACTACTTATAATATTTGCTCCCATCATTAACCGTGGATGCTAAAATTAGTTGGAGTCTACACAATTGTATCCTATTAGTAAACCTAAAATCCTTTCAGACTATGTTTCATGTATAGTTAGAATAGAGTGGTCTGATTAGTTCAAATCCTTTTATTTCACTTTAATCATAACTTCCACTTCGTATTAACCCTTTACAATCAGGTAATAAAGTGGTTGATTTTTTTCAACGTCAACCCCTTTTTTAGCCTAAAAACACTCAAAAGAGCATTTTTATTGTATATTTATAATTTAGTTAGAGACTAGGTGGTAGAGTTCTAACTTAGTCTCTTAAATAAAGATTTTCTTTTATTTTATTTCATTTTAATATTATGTTTACTTTATTCTGAACATAAGTAAATTCTCTGAAAAGTCAGCAGTTAATTCATATTCTCCAGATTAATGACTTTTTAAAGAATGTAAATTTACATTTCTATAAAAAACTGAATGAAAAATCAATCCAGTTGCTGTAAGCCACTATAATTATTTGGCTAAAATATGCTCACCATTTATTGCCATTATTATGCTAACCATTATTATGCTATTTATTGCTCACCATCATATTGCCAACGTGTCCCTAGCCTACTTGTATAATTTTGTATTATATTATACAATTGAAATTTTTCTAATGATTGAAAACTTGAGAACACTCTCATGAATCTATGATTATCTGTCTTGAATAGTATGATAAAATACATGTAAAGGTGGTTAAAATAGAAACTAACCCGTACAATAGTGATATAAGTTAACTCAATAAGAAAACTATTTCAAAATAGTAAAACGATTGTTTACTGGACTATGACAATATTGACTCTGTTTAAAATATACAGAAATAGATTTTTAATGCATATTGTTTCGGTTTTTAATTCTGAATGTTTTATTTTCAATATTTTCTATATTTATGTTCATAGATTTAAATTTAAATTAATAAAATGTGAATTAATGAGCTGATATCACCTGTGTGCCATGTTATCTTATGGGACGTCTGTCACTAAACAACACCACTTGCAACGTTGCCAATTCTACCAGGCCGCGGCCTTGTAGTTAAAGGTGGCCATGCATCTGCTGGTGCCATGTTGTCTGACTCATTTATCAGTAAAAAGGTTGATGTTTCTTGAAGTGGATGTTTTCCCTTAATGTTCTAAGTGATTCAAACTACAAAAGAAGTAAGTGGAATAAGTTTTGGTTAGGTATATTTTTATATTACATCTATATAAATAAAATAACAGTTTTGTCTGTACATTGCTTAGAATCATGCATTTTGTTGTTATTTTTTTCGTTTCATAGCCTAAAAAAGCCGGAACAAGTCTTATCTCAATTTCTGTCTGTCTGTCTGTTTGTCTGTTTGCCCATTCTGCAATTCCGTCTGTGACGCCAAAATGACATTTTATGCGGCCTACTCCTAGAAAATTAGAGTACTGATCAAGGTTATAATCATTTTTCTGTATTTACTGGATTGTTGAGAGTGTCTTAGGCTATAAAAACATGGACTCGCTTCTTTGAAAACAAAATAATGAACCATCAAAAACCCAATTTTGTTAGATTGTTGTAAAATTTTCTCCTAATATTTACTATTACATTTTATGAAATAACGATCAATTGTTTGGATTAGTTATCACTTTTAGCTGTCACTGATATGTTTACATTAAAAGTAGTTTACAAATACCACAACCATTTCCCATCAAGTTTTGTTAGCACATGCAAACCAAGTGAGATTAAAATCGTTGTGTCTTATTTAACCGGTTTAATTAATCACAAGTGCAATGATTATTTTTTAGTTTGGGTAACCGGGGAAAATACTGTGAATCAGTGAATTAGTGTGAATTAGTGCTGTGAAACTTACAGTTTTTTAATCATTGTCACCAATAGCTTACAAAAAAGGATTCCACTCATTGACAGCCGTTCAAGGACAGTTGTGTAAAGTGTAAAGTAAAAATCACAATTGTAGTGGGTGACTGGGTGATCGTGGATGTTGCTGTTATCTTGGAAGATCTTTCTGATTTCACTGTGATCGTAACAGAGGTTTAACTTACAGGTGTAGCTAAACTTGCTTTTCTAATGTGTAACTTTTTGTTTCTACCTAGCCTACTTATGTTTTGACAACAATATTGGTACTTTTCCTACTTATGAAGTAAAACTTTAAACATCAAAAACCCCAGACTTGTGTGTGTGTTTTGTCACATTTCCTCCGAATGTTGCTAGCGATATGATATGATATGTACCGATTATCGTTTAGAGATTACGTAATCTTTTAAATAAGAAACCTTTGTTTGAATATAGGTGGTTTCTTTAAACTGTCATTAATAGGTTAACATTAAAAACTGCTTACAAATAATGCTATTAAAGGGAAATAACTCTGAGTTTCAAAAACTAAAAAAAAAAAAAATAAAACCAAGGGAGATTAATAACTTTGGTACTAGACCACATCAAGTGAAAGTTATTTTGAGCAAACCATAATGAATGTTTAAAGCTTTACGTTGTTAACGTCACATGTTACATGTTTTGTGGCCTGTGTATTTATAGTTGCCAACAGATTAACACCTATAATACAGTTTTATTAGAGGGACAGTTTGAATTGGTCGTAAGTACTATAGTTCTTTTCTTAAATGTAAACATGGGTTTTTGGTACTGCTACTTTTCCTCAGAACCGGTGGTAGTAGTAAGAATCATTTTTATGTACAAACACATCACTTTACAACTAAAGTTATCGTTAGTGCTGCAGCTTATTTCTTATTAAATTTAATTGATGTCTTACTGTATAATTTTTGCGTTTTCTGTCTAGAATTTAAAATGTTAGTTTATGCTATGAAATTATAAAACATTCTTGAAAGATTTTTTAGCAAACCAATATGAATTTTTAAAGCTTGGCATTGTTAATGCATAAATGTTTCGTGGACTGTGTATTTATTTACTTATTTATATATTTGCCAACGGATTTACACCAATTTTATGGTTTGATTAGACCTAAAAACGATTATCATTACATTTGATGACACTATCAAAACTTTCAAATAATTATTTAATTATTTTCTTTGTAATTTGCTGAAGTGTGATTTGAGTGAGAAGTAATTTTCATTTACAGGCCTACCTTAGTAGGGCTATGCCTCATAGATTTATAAAGCAATTCCTTTTATCATTAGATATAAATATAGAATAACACGATCGGGTGACATTTAATTGCGAAGCATTCATTTTGGCTTTGAAACTATCAGATATTGTATTTGCGAAGGTTTCTATGTATTCCTATACAGTAATAGCACAGACAATATAATACTTTAATGTAGTTTTACCAGCATATCTGAAAAAAGGCGGTACCTAAATAAGCAAACCAACTCCTGTTCTGAATATAAGGTTTCAACTTACTACAATATTCCCGTACGTAGAACGGGCAAACAACTAGTACCTAATAAATAAAATTGATTCAGCGATTCATTCGACTAAAAATCGCCAAATGGCGCTAAATCACAAAATGCTACCTATTCAGTTTTCCAAGAGATAAAAACTAGTTGTGTTTTGGGACAGTGAATTATTATGACTATAATTGATTTGGAGATTTATTCAACTAAAAATTATCAATTGGCTATTTAGCTAAAATAAACCATATTTAGTTATCCCATCACTATGCACTAATCATGCACTGCGCTGCTATTTGACAACATACTGTCGATGGTTTCGTTGAATTAGTTCCAAAAAAATCCAACAGATAGTGTTGGCATGTCTTCTTGGGACTAGGCAGACGCGAGGCTATTCAATTCAATATTCATTCCCAAGACGTTGGAAGTGCTATGCTGCTGCGCCGTTGCCGTTACCACGCACAGCTGTTCAGACAGAAGATGGCACAACTACACATTCCAATCCAGAGACAGTGGAATGGGCACACGGGAGGGACTAAGGCTAAAAGTGTAGTGACGTCATATCTCTAGTGGCTAATGTCTACTCTTGAGGCCTGAGGCAACACGATTACCGTAACGAAACAATGAGTTTTCAGCGGCGTTCGTGGCATAGATAGTAGCGTATCGATTTGGTGTTCAAGAGGTTCCGGGTTCGAATCCCGCTGGTAGCATTAACTTTTTGTCAAAAAATTTTTATATCAGCAAGTTTGGTTGGTTAGGTTAGGTTATGACAGTTTAATTTTATGATACTAAATTTTAAAATTAATTTAATAATTAATTAAAAATTATAAGTAATCATTAATTAGATTTTTATCTTATACAGTTTTTATATTATCACTGGTTGGTTAGGTTATGTTATGACAGTTTTATTTTAAAAACTCAAAATTTATTTTATAATTTTAAAACAATATTTTATAATTAAAAAGTTATTAATTTTTTCAACTTAGCGGTTCTAGCGGTGAACGCTAACCCTACAAGATATGTTAGCCTTAGTCCCTCCCGTGTGTCGCACCGCAGAGACAGTTACTTATGTTTACAGACAGTTATGTTGGCTAACCTGTCTGATCCTCAACGACGAAGACAAGACGACAACAACAAGTTATTCAATGTTTAATCAAGTAAGTAAGAAAGCATTTTATCAGTGATAGGTAATCTTCATAATGTTTAGTATCGTGATTGTGGTTTAGGCCTACTCTCTGTTTGATTTACCTTGGTTTATTTGGATTTGGTTACATTAAATATTTTCGGATAGGTACAAATACCAAATTGTAAGGTCGAAGTCTGACAAACTTTCATTTATGTAGGTAGTCCTATTGTATAGTAATTTAGTCCAGGCCTAGGTATGCTGTTCTTAAGAAAGATTTTGAAAACAATTTAAACCTAGCCTGGTTACAATAAAACTTTAAATTTTAACTTGTTGGAATTTAGCTTAAATTAATTGGGCTTAAGGCCAAATTTTGCTCAATTGTGTGTTATTATTGTGGCCTAGGGTACCGGTACAGTTTCTTACTTAACTGGGCTATGCTAATATCAATTGGATTTATCAAATTGAAATATTGATTAGTACTGGTAATCAATATTTTAAAATATATTTACTATAAAATTAATCTATCACGACCTAACCTAACCAACCAAACTTGCTGATGGCAAAAAAATCGCATGAAAGTTTACTAATCAAATCGATAGTTTCAATCGACACTAGCATAGCCTAGTTAAGAAATTATACCCGTGGCTTATACCCTTTTTAAAGTAAAATTTGCCCCTTTGTCTCCTGTAAAAGATTTTTTTTGTTTCTGGTATTTGTAAGTAGGCCTAGGCATATGTCACTCAGACTAAATCTTTTATATTTTCTCTAGCTACTTTTTTGGGCTAGGCTTGGACATAACTGAAATATTTATTTGGTTTAGTTGGCCAATTGCTGAGTTAAAGAGTAGGCCTAAGTTAATTTTAGGTTCTAACTTAGCGCATTTCTGAAAACCGAGTGACCATTAGGTAAGGTAAACAGCCCCAATACCGGCAGTGGCCCAAATACCGGCAGTGCAGTGGTGACTTATGTCATTTAACGACACGTTGACATATGAACTAGTTATCTTATTTGTTATTGGCTGTTACATCCACTATTAACTGAAGGATACAGGGTGCCGGTATTAGGCTGACGGATTCCGGAATTATGGTTGTGCTATGCTGGAATTAGGGTTGTACTATGCCGGAATTAGGCAAAGGATGTAAAATAGGGTATCTCAAAAGTTTATGAAGTTATATTAGTTAGACCTTGGTTTTGTTGATAGGGTCCTGGATGGGTTGATTCAACTGGCTGCTGTCCTCGGAGAGGTTACCATGATCCTAATGTCACCGTGGGCTACCTAATTTTATACCCTTGGACTACGTTAAAACAACTGAGGACCGGCACCCAACACCTGCCACTGTGGAAGTCCTGAGCCCAAGAATAGATTGGATAAGTTACCAAGTAGACCAAAGTACCATCAAGATAATTACTAAATTATCCACTGTAGCAATTTTAACTTAATTTTTATTTTATTTTTACTCCTTAGAAATGAATTTTCATCTTATAAAAGTGGAGAGAAACTGAGAACTGGCTACCTCTGACACTAATCCACATATACATAATAGTTTGGTAAAGGGTTACTTATGTTTGTTATGATGGATTATATAGGCCCTAAATACTTATAGCCCCAAACTTTTGACCAGTGGCCGGGACCCCTAGGCCTACACCTGAAAACCTAACCTAAAATTTGTTGATAAGTAAGAATAGGCCTAACTTCTTTTGATTTGTGACATTAAATAGTTTACTTGAACCATGGGGCCTGTAGTTTTATTTACTAGTCAACATTTTAAACATGAAATTTCAGTTTGAATTAATCATGAGCTAAGAGAGAGAAATTTTATTCACAACTCAGCTGACAGTTGTAATATTCTGAATGTCTGAAAAGTGATAAAAGTTTAGTTTCCTGAATTTTAAGTAGCCTATGTTCACGATTATTGACTAAAGAACTTTCAATTTCAGTGTCAATTATGTAGGCCCACGAAACTTTAATAATAAATAATAGGTAGTTATTTGTCTTAAACGTATGGTAACTGTCACGCTAAAATTTAAACCCAAGTCAGGACCATGTTGACCGAGTAACTTAGTATTTTAAGTTATAAGTTTTGTTTGTTTGAACTTATTATTTAAGTTATGTGCATTTGTTTGATTAAGTAGCAATATTTTTTGACAATTCAAATATTTTTAACTGGAATTAGGGACCTAGTGATATTTTCAGTACATCAAAGACTGAGATACACCTGGGTTCTGACATTAGAATTTTTAGATTCAGGGAAATTCATCAAGGCCTAGGCCCAATACAAGGCTGTGCCAATTTTCAAGAATTTTAAAAGGTTAGATTTTACTTTAAGTAGTCCTAACTTATGATTTGTTTAAAGGGGTCCTATCCTGAGCCTGACCAACAGCTACAAGCATGTGAACATCTAGACCTACTAATAGTTCAACACTGACCACACCTCACAAACTTCAAGTGTCGTCCGACAACTTAGCTACTGTAGGCTATCCCAAGGCCCATCAATCAATTCCTAGAAAGGTGCAATTGGGTAGGTACTGCCATTTGGCAATATAAATAAGTATTATATATTATTATTTAGTTTTAGTTCTAGTGATAGTATTTGTTTAACCCTCCGAGTGTTAAGTGTCGTGTAATCGATGCATAACACCACGGTGGGTGTGTTGTGCATCGATTACACGACACACAAACATCGTTTACGGCAAAGGCTCTGGGACTGACTGAATCATATTGAACTTTAAATCGAGATTGATATCGTTGTTTTTGGCAGATTCTAAGCTTTTTCCTGATGTCTGTTTCTAGACGCTTTTCATTTTAGTTCTGAAAATATTGTAGCAGACATCTCACGTATGTAACTATTTGAAAACAACTTGGTTAACCTTGCACCGATGACTTATGTGTTTTATTACGTTTATCATTGTTTTAGTGTTAAAAATTATGTGGTGCACTATAAGAAGATTTACTGTAAGTGATTTTAAAGTGCTGGTTGATGATCCTGAAGAAGTAGGTACCGGTAGTAATATTGATATAAATTATCAGCCAGATTCCTAGCTAAGTTATGCATTCTTCCCTAACACTAAATGAGCAAAATCTGTTTTTCACCCATAACTTATTTATTTGCAAATTTACTTCCTTATATTATTATATTTTTGTAATCCTTGTAAAATTTAGAACAAAGTGGCTATTTTAAAATATTTGTCGACTTATAAATTATAAAAATTTATTGAGCGCAAACATAAGTTTTTTTTCATTTATTTTATAATTTTTGAGAAATGTTAACCTCACAAAAATTTTTTTCTAATGTTTTATATATTACATTGAAGCCCATAATTTCCTAAACAAAATGATATAGGCTATAAAACAGTATACTTTACATTGTTTTTAAGTTTCTAAGATACATTTTGGTAAAACCCTGCAATTGTGCAATAAATGGGTGGACATTAATACTATTAGTACTATGGACACTAGGCGGGTTTAAAAAAAAAAATATACTTTAGTTGAGACTGTAATAAGACTCTACTACACAATTGAATAAAAGGTGTTCTTATTGTGAAATTTCCGTGAGGAATATTATTTTTCAAAAAGTTTCTAAGGACAGTTAGAGGAGTTTTCCTAAAGGGTAGAGGAGTTTTATCTATAAGTAGGCCTATAAAAGAGAATGCCTATACATATTTGGCAGTGATAAACTCAGATACTACTGAACGGATGGATATAACACCTGGTACATATGTAGAATTTCATAGAATTATTATTTTGAGATAATTTTCAGGGCTTAACCCACCTGGAACCATTTTAAAAGTAACCATGTCAGTAATTTTGAAAGACTAGGTATAGGCTACCAAATATTGTGAAAGACTATATCAAATTCCGTGATTCTGGTTTTTTACTTGCCAATACCAAAACTATTGCTGGTCAAAAACGTTTAAAGTTCATATAAGAGAGGTAAATTCAACTTTTGGAGTAATATCCATTAATATTTTATCGCAACAATTGGTAATTAAACCAAAATAAATTATCGCAACTGTACCAAATTCCGTGATTCTAGTTTTTTCTCACCAATAACAAAAATATTGATGGTCAAAGATGTTTAAACTTTATATAAGAAGTAGGCCTAAATTCAACTTTTAAAGTTAATTTTAAATGTCAATTTGCTGATTTATGTCATCTGGCTCAGATCTTGGTTTTCACATCATTATACTTTTTTCTCATTACAACCAATTTTTTGGTCATCACTTGTATAGTTCAGGACTAACGTCTGGTCACGTATTATGTAGTCCTAAACTTGTAAACTGCCCCTAAGTATTAGTTTACAAAAACCTACACAGATCATCTCACTCTAATCTGCACTCATCTTTTAATCATATACACACTTAGGTTGCCGAAACGGCACATGGAAGATTTCTCAGATGCTGTTTGACGTCACTTTGAGGGAACACCAATACCGCAACGATACGGTTCAGAGCCATGGTGTAGTGAATAGCGTTGCAGGCTGATAATCTAAAGTATCGGGTTCAAATCCCGCCGGCAGCTCTAACTTTTTATCAACAATTTTTTCATATCAGCAAGTTTGGTTGGTTTGGTTAGGTTATTACAGTTTAATTTTACAATTAAAAATTATAAAATTAAATTTTAGGCATTTATAATTTTATTTTTTGAACAAAACTATTTTTTAGATTAGTAAACCTTTATTTGATTTATCCATTATCAGCACGTTTGGTTAGGTTATGACAGTTTAATTTAATATTAGAAAATTATAAAATTGTCTGTTTCTTCAGACGCAGCAGTTAGTGACATCAAACGGCACCTGAGAAATCTTCCGTGTGCCCCACCGCTTAGGTGGCATGCTCATTTTAATAATTATTGATTTTTGAATTTTTCTCTTTGGCTCTAAATATGTTTATACAGTATATACAGTACAAAAATACTCGATACTCAAAAGAAGAAGTAATACATAAAATAGGATCACAAATCCATTCATGCAATAAAAATAATACCTAGTTGCTAAATCATTTATTTTCCAACGCCCCTGTAAATAATATTATTGTTTCAAACTATTTGGACAGACACTTGACTTGTGTTTCATCTTTACTTTTTCTATGCAACATACAGGCTAGACCTATTTGGTTATTCTGTTATTCATTATTGTCAAAGTGTACACAACTATTAATCTTAGGCCTAAATATTTTTTAAATTTTAGTCAGTTGATTGAGATATCCAGAAATAGGATTCTAAACAATAGGTAAACAATTTCACTAAAAAACTTTTAAGTTACAAGGTAGCTAGCTAGTCATCGGTCTTAAACATCTTTTTGGTGTAAGCTCAAAAGTAAATTAAGGGTGATGTTGTATATAAGAGGATCCAAGTCTAAGAATTATCTTCCAAAAGAATTATTTTTATTTTCTAAAAAATAACCAATTTTTCAATTCCCTGTAAATGAATTTGAGTATATGGTGTGATTTTAGAGTTCTACATTTAACTTTGAATAAAAATAAAAGAAAATAATGAAGGATATCTAAAAAATTTATTCGGTTCCTGGTTACTAGGACCTACTCATTGGTACATAACGAGATAGTTATTATAATCATGAGATGTTAATTATTTTAAACAAGTGGCAGGGAGTTGAGAGTCCTTTTCAAATACTATTCAAATTCTGAAAAGTATTCTATTTGGCTAAATGAATTGCCATATAAATATCTATCTAGTCCTAAAGTGAAATTGTTAAAACTGAGGCTTTCATTCCGTCAAACCAAATTGTAGCTATAGGCCTACAAGAAGCTTAGAGCTCAAGGTAGGATATAATTCCTGTTCACTTGCCTTCAAAACAGATCAGTTGCCTAAGTTTAGCAAAAGTGGAGGTAACCAAATAGATGGCAAATACTTAGCCTATGGTGTATATTGCTGGTAGTTATTAGGAGGCCAGATAGGCTTATACGTGGGAGCGCCACATGAAACAATTTATATACATTTTAAAATACCTATTTATGACAATTACAATTTTGATTAACAATCATGTTAGTTATGTCTTTTAGATGTGAAAACTTAAATAGTTTTGGTTCTGGTAGCAGCTTCATTTCAACCTAAATTCTGATTGTAGCTAGCCTATATAGTTAGTGAGATATGCATATATAATAACTTTAATACTTTTAGTCTTGTTAGTGAATAAGTCCAACATATTTCTTAGACACAGCTGTTAATTAATAGCCCATACAGCTAATGGAAACTAAGGGACCTACAGTTTATAGTGGAATCTAAACTACGGTATTAATGAATTGGCCTAATTATTATCAGGATAGTCAAAGTATTAGTAACGACTCCACCGACATAAAACTTTTCTCTAATTTTGATGAAATTTGGCTTGAAGGTGTAGGGTAGGGTAAACTAAAATGAGTTTACAAACCAGCACAAAGGGGTCTTATGGGGTAAAAGTTAGGTTTTCTCATACTTAACCCTCAAAACAAAAAATTTCCCAATTTCTAGCTTGAAAAATAATTTACCTATATAAAAATTTTTTTGTATGGTTATTGATAGTTTAGAAAATTAAAATATTATAAATTTAAAATTCCCATAGTATTTTTATTGAGAATATTGTAAAATGCTTACTCTAGTTTGCTTTTTATGGATATATTTTTAACAAACTTACAAATTTATCTATTTTATTCTTAGCTTTTACTATTTTACTGAAAATTTTTTTATTAGTTTCCTTGTAGGAGCATACCTATATACTTGTTATACCTAATGTTTAAATAGATTAATTGAATACAAATGAAATTTCACTTAGTTGGCAGATTGCTGTGGTGAGGGTCCTTATGGTTTTTACTCAATTTATATAGGCCTCTCTAAATAATAAGGTCTAGGTTTTGGTCTTTAAGATTCTTTGGAATTCTTTATTAACTAATTATTGATATGCATTAGTTAATGTTAACTTTGTAAATGAAAAGATACAATAATTATTGTTCTCTGGGTTATTAATTTTTTTTTTACTTTCGGTAAAAAATTTGTAAAAGTTGTATCCATCTTAGGTTATAACAATTAGTTTTAAAACTGATAAGAATGATTTTAGACTAATTAAAAAATGTGTTGAGGGAGTATTAGAGTTAATGTGTTTTACTAATTTTCATGTTATAAACATTGACTTAGAGCATTGATTCGTAAATTGTACATCTTTAAGGTTTAATTTGTTTCATAAATATAAATAGATGTCATTTTAATGTTTCTAGTAAAATTATAATATCATAATTATTGATTAAAGTAACAAAATAACCATCACTAACCTTTTCTATATACTGTATTGGCTAAGTAATTTATTCAGTCCTCTTTATGTTGTTATAGGTGATCATCTTAGCCGTTGTCCTCGTCATGATTGCTATTCTCTGGCCCCTCCTTGCTGTTGTCAGCTGCATACATAGCCCATGTACTGTCACAAGGGTGTTATTATATAAAAATTCAGGTAGTAGCCTATCAATAGTCTAAAATTCCAATGTTTCACTTGGCCAGTCTTAAAACCAAGTGTCATTAAGATATAAATAGAATAAAAAAGTATAAAAATATATTCAATACCAACAAGAGGCATTAATTTCCAGAATAGAAATGACACTCTCAAGCATTTTTTGCTTAGATTTGTGATATGAGATTTCTATTTTAATTTACTATCAAGGCAAAAGCCTAGAATTTTAACTGAACTGTCTAAATGTCTTGAAGAGAGTGAGAATTCAATATTCTGGGTTTTGGATTGGTTACAGATGATATCAACCAAACTCCTAAATTAACGCTAAAAGTTTTTGTTTTTGCCTTTCAATACATCTCAAAAAGTAAAATCTTTATTTTTTTAAATATACACTCCTTCAATTAAACCATCCCAACCCAAATTTGTGGTTAACAATTGAAAACAATCATCAGTTCACTTTGAGGCCCGACATTTAGACATGAAATGTAGCTAAAATCGCAGTCCAGTGTTAGAAACATTTTGTTAAAGTTAAAATAGTTCATGAGTAGTGTTCAAGGGATATTTATCTATACGGTACTTAAATCATTTAAGAGCAGATTAAAGCAGATTATACATAATTTCAATCTTTAAAAGACATTTGTATCTATTAATAACAGTTAATGGACATTTTTTAGTGTTTGAAAGGCTATTTTTCAACTAAACTCCGAAATTAACCTTAAAAGTTTTTGTTTTTGCCTTACAATAGATCTCAAAAGGTAAAATCTTTATTTTTTTTAAATGTACTCTCCTTCAATTAAACCATCCCAACCCAAATATGTGGTTAACATTTGAAAACAATCATCAGTTCACTTTAAGGCTCGACATTTAGACATGAAATGTAGCTAAAATTGCAGTCCAGTGTTAGAATTACTTTATTAAGGTTCAAATAGTTCATGAGTCGTGTTCAGGGGATATTTTCCTATACTTTAAATCATTTAAAACAGATTATACACAATTTCAATCTTCAAAGGTCATATTTATCTATTAATAAGAGGTCATAGAAATTTGTTTGTGCTTGAAAGACTTAAAATTAGCCAAATGCTTTTAAATACAATACTATGAAATGAATATGGAATAAGTCACAGAAACTTAAATTTCCTGGCTCTTGACACTTTGAGACTGTTACATATACTTTCAATTTCAAAATTTTGGGTATTCTTAAAAAAGATAACTGTTTGAAAATATATTCTAATTGTCAAATTTTACTATAATTTTCATTATTTCATTCATTAATTTCTATTGAAATTTTTATAATTTATGACTATTTACATTTAAAAACATATATTATTTGAAGCAAATAAGGGTTAAGCTTAACTCACTCATATCATAATATTACAGTTTTAAAGACTACGAGTCTAGATGTTTTCCAACATGGGTAACTCTTAGTATGGAGAATAATTTGGAGATCTTGTAAAAAATATTATTTATTGTTCTATTTTCATGTAATTGTTTAGCTTTTAGAGTATAATTTATTAAAATTTGTCAGTAAATATATTGCATACAGCTAAAACTAAATATGTAAACCAAACTCTGAAAATTTATCTTAAATTTTTGATCTGCATGTCCTTTTAGCAGGATAACTTGAGCAAAAATTATCAGGTTATGATTAAATTTGGTACAAACGTGAAGACCTACATTTATTCAAACAAGTCCACGAACCAGTGTAATTGGGCCATGGGAACAGGGGGGTTATATGGGGTAAATACAGTATGTTTTTTATAATTTTTAAACCTAAAAACAAAAAAAAATACTATTTCTTTCTAAACCATTTTCTAGAGCTTAAAAAAGAAATAATGAAGTATATTAAAACATTCTTGTATGCCTAACCACCATGGAGAAAATTAAGAAAAAGTGTGATCTAAAATTTTTATGTTAGTCTTAAGGAGAAAATGAAAACAGTTGTATATTACTTGTTTATGGATATATGTTGATAAAATTTGGCAAATTTATTTTTTTCATCTTATACTATTAATGTATTGTATAAAAGGTTTTGAAATTGGTTTTGAAGTAGTTTTACCAATAATAGTTTATTAAACCAAACCTTTAAACTGATTAACAATCAAATATTTTTTAAATCAATAACTGTTGATACTTAACACTTCTCGCTTGTTTGAGTAGCTTTTTACTGTAAGACTTGAAAAATTGGATTTTTCTTATTTGCAATCATATTTAATATAGAGTGACCAAATTTATTAATAATATCTTCTTATAGGTAGGAGGTGGTAAGATGTTTTGGAACCATAATATTAATACCTGACAAATAATAAAGAACCATATTAAATGAAATAATTATAGTTTTATTTTGGTAAGAACTTACTCACATGTAGCTAAAATATTTATAATTTGCAGATAGAGGCAGGTGGTGTGGCAAACATTTGGTCCTGACCTAAAGTTTTACTCCACAGGCTGGGGCTGGCTGAGTTTTGGTTGTTACTGAAAAAGGTAGTATTTCTTTGGTAGATATATTATAAAATAAACTGAGTCTGTCAGTTTATATTGTGTTAGGTTAAACATAAACTTAAGAACATAAAGTCCAAGAAAACTTGAAAATGGGTTCTTTTTAAATTTCAGAATTAACCACTTTGGCCATTACTATTTTCAACTAATTGTTTTGTGTGTTATTTTATTTAATTATCAAGCAGAATAGTGATTTTTTGTTTGAAGGAATTTGTTACACTTTTGTTTTTAAAATATGAAATGTGGAATATAATTTGATTTTTATGATTCTCAAAGTGTTTTTTTATTTCAAACCCTATGTTCAATCAACATGAAACATTTGAAAAAAAATTATAAGAGTTGACATATATATAATTATTCAAAATGTAAAAATTGATATATATATATTCATTTTAAATAGTGGCAAGTAGATCTTTTAACCAGAAAAGTATTTAGCTTAAAGTTTTAAAAAGTATCAATTTTAAAGACACTCTACAATAACATTTAAAAATTTAAATTTAATTATAAATCAATGCACATATAATAATTAGGAGCAATAATTCATTTCTAAAATCTTATCTTACTAATATTATAAATGAGAAAGTTTAGATGTATGTTTGTGACAAGTAAACGTGAAAGATATGGGTCGGTCTCAAAAGTCCTTTCAGGCTCCACCCCAGTGGCTCTGAAGTTGTCCATGTTAACCTTATGAATAATCATATTTGAAAGGAATAAAAGAATTTAGTCAGCTGTTTCAACTACACAAGTTGGTTCTATGATAATAAATAGCGTTCAAATTCATAAGGTTTACCAACAGTGTGCAGCATTATTAGACTTTTTTGAATTTGACCCAACTAGCAACAAAAAGCTGTGATATACAATGAGGACTTTACCTTATCTATTGTTTAGTTGCAGTGGTAAAACATTATGGCTATAGTAGATGTGCTATGTTATACTATATAGCAATCCATAAATTAAAAGAACCAAATTTTCTTAAACCATGTCCCCTCCCATTGTAAACACACAGCCAAGTATAACTGCAAACAACATTTTATACTTACACACCAACGTCGTACAACGAATGCATACCATACTCTGCTAGTGTATTATAAAACTTATGATTACCTTTTTTGGCTCCATTCTTTTTAACATTACCACAGGGTAAGACTTTGAGACCTGGTAATGAGCTCTCTCAGCCTCCTCTTGTGTAAGGTTCGGCCTCTGGTATTCTTGGACAAGCCTATCATATACCCTTCTTCTCATCCTATCGGTAGTTTGCCTATCCAACCAGTCATAAAAATCATGATTAAGTTGGATTGTCTTCCCCTTGATAACCCTTATCATGTCCTGAAAAAATTGTTCTTAAATCAACAACGAAATCTATGAATTCGTTAGTTATAAGATTAAAGGATTAGTGTTAATTAGTATAGATGTTCTCTTTACATTATTAGTAATAAAAGACCAAGCCTTACTCAGTTGTGATTAATTTGGTTAAATTGTTGCAAATATTATAAGCAGGTGAATTTTATAATTTATAAAATAGGTTATATATTTTTGTATAAACCGTAGACATTTGATTTTTAAAATAATAATAAATTTGTAATATAAAAGTATACACTAAACAATCATAAGATATATCTTTATGACCCTGCTTAAGTTTTTAGTACTACTTGTATGAAATTTATCTTAGATAGATAGATTTCTTTCTAAATAGATATATTTAAATTTATGTTATGGTTCTTTTATTTCAAATATGAAATATTAAATTGACCTTATGTCGGCCTTAGTCACTAACAAGACTACAAGATCGCGCCACTCATCCTACACTCATCCTTCACTCATATTTGGGTTAAAATACGCACATAGTGGCGTCCCCATCTTAAATAATTGATTGATTGATTGAACCTTTGGACTATATTTTAAATACAACTTCTAAGTTCATCAATCAATCAAATTCTTTATTTTATAAAATGTACAGATTGATACATGAAATTGTGTCAACATAAGTTTTCTTATCTAGATTGCTAAAACTAGGGATTTTACAGTAGTCAAAACAGAATATATATGGCAATTAATGACCTTCAAATTGATTTTCATTTCTTTAAATAATAATAAGTCCAGCTGATTAATACATCAAATGCAAAATTAAAGTAACAGAAAATAAACATAGAGCAAATCAATGGAGATATTTAAATGTTTTAATTTTTTAGTGATTTTCAATTACAAAAACAATTCCTGAATGGTGTAAAATGTTGATTCAATTAAATATCTTTTTTAATGATTTAAAAAATTATTTTGAAATCTGGTTTTAGCTCATCAACAATAACATTACCTAAGTTGATCTAGACGAGATAGTAGGTGTTACACATTATGATGGAAGATAGAAAAAAGTTTATGACTTACATTATTATTCTTGTTAATATTTGATGAGCTTTGATTTCTCTTACTAACTAAACAGTTATTTATGGGTAGAGCTGGGAAATGGTTTGGTGCTGTCATCTTGGTGAGGTTGTTGGTGTTACTAGAGAGTTTAAAGGAGTTTTAGGTGGTTTTGGAGTTTTAAGTGGTGTGGAAGGTTGATGGTTTACAGATTATTTTTTGTTATGGCTATTTACATTTAGGCTATTGTTACACTGGGGAAATTTTAACACTTGCTTATTGCTCTGCTTTTTCACTGCACCATTTACTACTTCACTGTATTTTCGGTGGTCAGGAGTCAACAATGGTGAAGGACTGGTCTCTGTTGGGAGGTGGTGCAAGTTGTTGGCACTGATGTTAGAATTTGCAGTAGTGACTGTCTTTCCATGTGCTGGCTTCTCTTCTACTGGCAAGTTTGAAACAGATGCTGACATGCTTGACTCTTCCTTGTTCTTACATATGCTGAGTTAGGTTTAGGAGTGATGGCTGAAGTTTTGGACAAAAAATATCTCTTATCATAAAAGCTATTGTTTTTTTTACCCTGCTTGTTGAAGTGTAAACCGTGTTGTGTGTATAGGTGTCGTGGCAGTTTATTTATGGCCAGGAAAGAGGCATGTTTATGTTGGGTCACCAGTTTTTCAATATTAGTATTAAGGAACCATATTCTGTTGTTGAGGCTTGGGACATGATGCCTGTAGGGAATTGCTGATATAATGATGTTAGTGTGCTTTGTATTTTCAAGCAATATCCTGATGGTTTCACAGTAATTTCTCTCTGCCTGACTAACTTCATCATTGGACCCACCTAACACAACCAGTGTGTCAGACTTTGTAAAGGATTTTGTGAGGATTTTAGCATCAGATAAAACCTCATTCATAATTGCATTGGGCTTAAAGATGCAGTTTATGTCATGTCTGCTTTTTTGCCAGATAGATGACAAATTAGGTGCAAGGTGTCTCCCATGGCTGTCAGCCAGTATTAGAATTTTTTTCCTGGGAAGTTTAGGTTGCCTCCTAGTCCTGAGGGATGATTTCTTAACAGTTTCAGTCTCATTACAACAGTTATGAATTACAGTGGGATTTTCATTTACTCTGCATATAGTTTCCATAGCAGAACTGATTATTTATATTGATTGATTTATATTGTGTATTGATTATTTATAGTGTCTTGCAGTGAGGCTTGAGCAGAAGCTGAGTGTTCCTGAAAGTAGTTTTAGACCATCATAATATTTATGTACAGAGAAATCTTTGGTAAAAATTGTGCTTGTTGATGGTTTATTACCTACTACTTATCAATACTTGTTATCAAGGAGCATGCTATTTCAAGATTGTGTAAGACATGTGTGCCACATTCGGTTGTCCCTCTCTGGATATAACATTCCACATTTTTCAGCTCAAACGCTCCTTCATTCCCAAAAAAACTGTGCCAATCTCACACCAAACTTTTTGGCATGACTACTATTTAGACCAGCAAATGCATAAGAAATTATAATTATAAGTAACTTAGGCCTACCCAGGCAGGAGATCTTTCATGGACTTTGACTTTGGGCATCTTATCTTAGCAAATAGTGGAACAGTAGCCTATTTCTATAAAAAGAAAAAGAAAATCTAATAACTGTAAACAAATGGATTTTTGATAAGCAATCAATAGTATAGTTCTCAAAAAATATCCTTAACATAGAATTTAAATTGACCCGTGGCAATGCTAATCATATTTATAATAACTTTCTTCGAGAGCTCCTTTTGAAATTTGATTGAACAGATTAAATAAATGTTAGCAGTTCAAGTAAGTGTAACAAACTATTTACATTTTAGAGTTAGAGTTTAGAGTTTACTGTAATTTTACAAATCAGTCCATATTACCTTTCCCTGGGCTGTTTATTTATGAAAGCCTAAATTATGTCCATAAAAATAAGAAAGATTTTGAAAAGATTATAAAGCTTTATGTAATTGACGAGATACCAGTACTACTATAAGTACCTAATATAACATTTTATTTTGTGACAATAAATTTATTTGATTTGATTTGACTTGATCTAAACAAAACATTACCACAATTCATAAATACTAGACTATAATCATTGTGGTTTTAAACATTGAATAAAACAAAATATTTATAATAAAAAACAATAGTTCTGGGTCAAAATGTACTATAGAAACTATTTTAGCCAAAATTAGGATATTTTAACAATTTGTAGAAAATAATTTGAGCTGTTTTTGAAATCATTGTGCACAAACATTAATCATTACAGTATTATAAATACCTGCATAATATTTTTTTATCTAAGTTTATATACAGTTTAGTTATATTAATTTTATTTTAGAATTTAGTATTTAATCAAACCACATGTTTACTGTTGATCAGTTTTACAATTTAGCAAGACTTAAAAGTAATATACCTTATCTCAAGTTTTAAAAATAAGAATGAAATTGTTGAAGTGGTCTATAAAAACCATTTCTCATCAAGTACCCCATCAGTCATAACTCTTCCAGTTTTAAAATGTAGTGTTATACAATTAATTGTAAGTAGATAAACTAAAAAAATACTCCTAAAAAGCAGGGTTGATATACATGAAATATTAAAAGTTAAAACTTAAATAAGTTCAGTTTAAAATATGAATTTAGTTAAAGTTTAAACTATTAAATTAAAAAACATAAATTCTATGACTAATATTTTTATAAAATTGATTTGATTCTTCATAAGTTTTTCCTTTGATTTATCTTAAGTTTTTTCTTTAATTTTGAACAACAGTTTTCATAACTCTTCCAGTTGTAAAATTTAGTTCTATACAATTAATTTTAAGTAGATAAACTAAAAGAATACTCCTAAAAAGTAGGGTTGATAT